AGGGCATCTGTGATCAAAACCAACTAATCACTTCATGTCTTTTACTTTTAACTGGCATGTCCCACAGCAGTACAACAGGAAAAAACGGACTGCTGTACAGTTTATTCGTCCTTTGATATATAGTCAGATATCTTGCCAGTTGGGGCGGCAGATGACGCAAGTTGGAAAATGCTTAGCAGGCCTTGTGTATCCGAGCTGGGATTTCGTTAGCAGAAATAAGTGGTTGCAGATTCTAGGAGATATAACTGTGAGACTTCCTTAGTGGCTCATTTTCACATATTATCTTTACCTCGTCATATCGAAAGTTTTTGTCGTCTTAGCCCTTCTTATTCCATTTTCACGACGTTTTGCTCTCTTGACTACTTTGCTCCTTGTTTCTCGATCTTTAATTTTGGTACCTCTTACTTTCATGTGGTCCGATGTGTAACGGCGTGGACCGTTACGCAGTAATACCACATCTGACGTTCATACTAACTGACCAACTCACCGCTTGGATATCTACATCTGTTGGTGTCCATCAAGGATATCAACTCTTTCCATTTATATTTGGATTCGTTATAAACGAGCAAGGCCTACCTTCCCTCCTCTGACTTTGATAGATCCCCATCTGCACCTACATTGGTCTGGATAACCAGGTGATATTACATGATCGTCCAATAAGTGTCTCTCATAACCCCTCACATGAACCTGTACAGGGTTAAGTTACAACTAGTTCATAAAGTTTCGTTTTTTTATAGCATACATTTCTCACTTCCTGAATGTGAATTTTTGCTGTACATCCATCCATCCAGATCAACCTAGGACCAGGCATTACTGCGTAACGGTCCGGGTTGTCACACCTCATATCAGTAAATCAAGTAAAAAGGCAGTGAGGCTCAAGATGAAGATGAGAGAATACAGTTAAAAGAGATATAGAGTATGAAAAGAGAGAAACGAAGAGTGAGAAAGTGGTGAGATTCGGTATAGCGTCGTTAAGATGAGGACAATGTATGTGCATATGTATACATCTGCGCCACTGACGTCGGTTCCGAGCCATGTGATCACCTAGAGTCAGTCTCCAGCCGCTGGTTCCTCTTGTCCCGCAGAGCCCAACCACCTAGTCTGCATCGTCCCACATGACTCATATCAACAGTCAGATACTTCATACATTGGTGCCACGTTTTAGTCTGGCCACCTCGGGCTTTTTTCCAGCCTGGACCTACTTCGGCCAACATTGTGTGATGAGGCAATCGGCGACTAGGCATACGTAACATCTGTCCCAACCATCTCAGTCGATGAAGGTTCACAGCCTCGTCAACCGACTTACCTCTTCTCCCTAATACTCTACTCCTGACTTCTGCATTATTCACGTGGTGACACCACGGAATACGGCTTATACTACGCAGGCAACGGTGGTCAAACACTTGAAGCCTTCTCATGTCTTCCACCTTCAATGGCCATGTTTCACACCCATACATTAGAACAGACCGGATTGCTGTGCAGTATACGCGACCCTTAATAGACAATCGGATACCACACCGGCACCACAGGTGGTGTAAGTTGGCGAAAGCCACCCGAGCCTTTTGTATCCATGCAGAGATTTCACCGGCCACTAAGCCATCAGGGCTGATCCTACTTCCCAGGTAGGTGAAGTGGTCAACACACTCAACCACTTCACTCTCCATTGTTAGCCATGGCACCGTTGAAGACCAGTCCTGGAGCAAAAATTTGTATTTGGGTGGTGAGAAACGCATCCCAAACATTCTCAAATTGCTACTCAAAGTGTTCCGAAGACTCTGCATGTTGTCAGTGTCTTCGCCTGACAGGACAATGTCATCTGCATATTCTAGGTCTAACGAAAATTCTCCACCGACTACGTCAACGTCTGTGTAATCAGGCGACGAGATGGAAACCTTCATAAGAATATCTATGATAAAATTGAATAAGAATGGAGACAGTGGGCGCCCTTGACAGACACCACTTGACGAACACAGCTACCCGGACATCTCACCATAGGCTCTAACATGCCCACAAGTGTCTGAGTGGAGAGCCTTCAATAAGGTGATGTACTCAGTCGGCACTCCTTTCAGTGAGAGACATTGACATAAGACTCCTCGGCCAATGAAGTCGAATGCCGCCTTCAGGTCGAGAAATACAGCCAGTGTCGCGCGCCGGTAAGCGTGTCTGTGTTCCAAAACCTGGCGCAGTGTGAATACTTGGTCGATACATCCACGGCCAGGTCTAAAGCCTGCTTGTTGTTCCCGAGCTCCACTCAGACGTCGAAGAATTATAGAACCTAGAATCTTGGACACTGTTCGTCAGGCTGATTCCTCCGTAGTTATCACAAGAGGACTTCTTGTCTTTCTTGAAGACTGGGATCGTCAGTGACTCAGACCAGTCAGAGGGGATCGTATTCGATTCCCATGTACTGGTTATCACTTCCGTTAACCTGACTAAGAGCACTCTACCACCATCCTTGTATACCTCAGGAGTTAGTCCATCTGGTCTTGCTGCCCTTCCTCGTTTCAGGTTACCTCCCGCTTTCTCGACTTCTTCTAGTGTTGGAGAGCCTATCTCTATGTCCCATTCAGGATCCGACTGGATAGCGGGCAACGGAATGGTGGTTCGAGGCCAGTTAAACTGTTCCTCGGAGTGTTCTACTCATCTCTCCAGTCCTCTCCCCTGCGAGTGAATCGCAGATCCGTCCTTCTCCGTTATCGTCTCACTAACCTCAGTCGACCTTTTTCCTTAATAACTTTGAATAACCGTCTACTATTACCAATCGCTGCCGCCTTTTCCATCTCTTTAGCCTTCGCTGCCCACCACTGTTCGTGATCGTTGCGTAGACTTTTTCTCAATCTACTTTTAAGTTGCACTCGCTTTTCATTGTACTCAGAGTCTGCAGGGATGCGTTCACGTGCATCCATTAGTTCGGAAGAAGCTGCTGATATCCACTGACTCTTTAGCCATTATTTTGGAGTCGGCTATGGTCTTCAGCGCTGCTTTTACAGCAGACTGGAGATGGCATCAAGCTTCTTCTGGATGAGTGATAGTCTTATGTTCCGATAACTCCCTAGCCAACTTCACACTGAACACGGCTTTGTTGTTTTCGTTGTCCAGCAGTACTCTTGGTTGTTTTGTTGCCAAAGTTTTCCTACGTCAATTGAGACGCAGACATATACGTGCTCGGACCAACGGATGATCGCTGTCACAGCACGTACTCCAGAAAGAGTGGCAGTCTTCCACCGACCCTCTCCAGCGATAACTAATAGCAATGTGGTCTATCTGTGTCCATCGCTGAGTCGAGCTCGGTGGACGCCAGATCAGACAGTGCCTTTTTTTATGTCTGAAATGTGTGCTGGCTAAAAATAAGCAATTACCTGAGCACAGTTATGGTAGGCTATCACCGTTATCTGTTCGTTCAGCTGGGATTCCGAAACTGCCACCTAAGTGCCTTTCCGCCTCACTCTTTCTACCCACCTGATCATTGAAATCACCTGCAACAACCGCCACATCTGAACGTTTGGCTTTCGAGGGGAGGCTAGACAGTTTACGGTAGAGCTCGCCCTTCACTTCATCCGAGCTGCAGTCAGTGGGTGCGTAAGCAGAGATTATAATGAGACAACGGCGGGTCCCCCTATTCCTTCTAGTTCTCACTGTGCCGTTCAGTCGAATAGCGCAGAGGTGATTATCAACTGGGATGCAGTCTAGTAGTGAGTTTTCTGCCCTAGTGCTTAGTGCTATGCCTACACCTGCAAGACCCCGAGAGCTAGCTATCGGATTTTCAGAAACTCGGAGGGCGAATTTTGCGGATTCACCAGATTGTCCGGGAGATGTTAGGTGAATAACTGCACTTGGGTCCTGTATGCGTATCTCACAAACACAGCACACATCCATGGCCCGAGTTGCTAGAGTCTTTGCCAGGGAAGCCTGTTGACCAATTTGACGGAAGGTGCGGACATTGAAGGCTCCAATATGTAATTTGTAGCGTGGTTTAAGGAGACTAAGGATGCTGTTTTGTGAACTCAGATCGTTGTCAAAGGCTGCAGAGGTAGGAGAAATTAAAGATGATGCAGCATCATTAATTGAGAGACCTGAAGGAAGATTAGAAGGTAATGATGGAGGAGGTGGATAGCAGTCAGAAGAAACTTGAGTGCTGAAAGAGTTGTGAAGGGGACTGGTACTTCACGGGTTCCCACACCGTGAAAGGCTATTTCTTCTTAAGGTACCTGAAAGAGATTTATGTGACCGCAGAGCCCATCGGACATCTGCTTGAGGCCCGTCACACGAAGCCTTTTGTGTATGATTATTTAGAACTTTTGTATTTTTGAGGCCGGATGGTCGAAAAGAAACGACAAATGAACCAGCACCGCTTCTACTGAGAAGGCAGCATCAGCATGGTCCTGCTGGTCATCCAACGGAAACACCTTGCTGCTGTCACGCCCCATCCAGCTAGCAGCAGTACTACTTCGCCCTCAGACCCTCATCGTAGTGTAGTAATTTGCACCACAACGATAACTGCTTTCCGTCTAACCACTATCCAACAGACCTTTCTGGTATGGTAGGACCTTGAGTAAACAAGTGTTCCACCAGAATAGCTCGTTGGGTCATTGTAATATGCAAGCCCGAGCACCACGTTGCTAGCTATCGATACTAGCGTTTTGGAAAGTATGGTGGTAGTAACAATTTTCAGTTGGAAACTTCAAGTGATATAGTTCACAACTGTTCTGGTGTTTTTATGACGTTTTTCGTGTTCATCGTTGTAACTATTGTGCTATATTTGTCAGAAAACATATTAAGCTTTTACTAGAATTATCCTGTATGGTATTTAGCTATAAAATCAGATACTATAAAGTACTCATTCCTTCGGCAGTAAGCGAGTTAAAATAGCCAAGTGGATTGTCACCTACCGCACTTGGTGTTTGTTTCACTTTTGCGCTTAAGGATGAATATAAGCTTCCTGTTTATCTCGATTTGATGTAAAACCGTTCTATATTTCCTTCGTATTTACTAATTATTAGATGATTGGTATTGGCCGAACTTGTGTGAAATTAGATCAATATCCGCGTGAATTCCGTTCGCAACTTGGCATTGATCCAAATACGTGGGGATTAAGTTATCGTGGCGCTCTTATGCATGCCGGACAAACGTTTTTCTTGGGTGCTTGTGCTTTTAAAAAGGGAAGTATTATTGGCTGTCTTCTTGATTTATGGCATAATAAGCTTTATTTTTACGTTGACGGACAACTGGATCATAAGGCTTGTTTTGAGTAAGTTGTCTGTACTGAAAGTAATTAGCACAGCGAAATTATGAAAATGATCTAGTTCACTTGATTATTTTTTTTCCGATTGGTTTTAGGAAATTTTCAGTCATCTTTCAGCTTACAATGCAGTCTTCATCCAGCTGCAGTCATCTGTACTGATAAAGCATGACTCGGTTATTCAAGATAGCCAAACTTTTTTTCCCGCCAGGTACTTTATGTCCTACAGAACATAGCTTATCGTAGTACGCAACTTAACTGGTAGGACTCTTTGTCAATGAAATGAGTTATTCTAATTAAAATCGGTGGCGACAAAATTGACATTAGTTATGATGGCAATCTTAGGTACACCACCCCGGACAGTTTATAACGTTCATTATTATGTCACAACGCAGAGTTGATACACTGCTTACTGAGGTGGGAAAATCTCCAATCGCTGGTTTTGGAATATAAAATCAAAATCGAACTTCTTAACTTATGGAACTTGTGCACTGTACTAATAACGATATCCACTGTGTGATGGATGACTGGTAATGGGACCTGGTTACCTGAGTCGCATCAGGATTCTAAACCAGGATTCACTGACGGAAAATCATGTGGTACAACCGATAAGTTATGGTTCCGCTACAAAATTAGGGGTCATAGGCTGTAACTAATATCGGATAGTTTTTCATACCGAATCACAACAAGCAGACCGATTATTACTCATACACAAAGACTAAATATTTCACCTACAAGCTACTACTGAACTCAATGAGCCATTATGTATCCTCCTTGTTCATTCTGTCGAGCCTCAAGGCTCTGGCAGTGTCAAAATACTTCATATTTAAAGTACTTTCCATAACTCTTAAACTAAATAATTCGATTACCAGGAAATCAATCTGTTGTCTTAAAAATGAATTTGAGTAGATCTAATGATAGGTGACTGGATCTTTAAGCTTAGAAAGAAATACTAGTTATTAAGTGGTAGACATTCTGGTAAACGGCTGTATTTCTCATAAAGTTCTGTCAACCGTAGCAACCACTCATGGTCCTACTGTTGGTGTAATGTTAAATTTTTATCTTATCTTGACATTGTGAGTTCCGACCAAGATTGGACACCAATTCACATAGTTTCACACTGTTGGTTTGAGCCGTGTAAAGAGGTGCAGACTATCTAATTGGAGTCCGCTAAGCGATAGGAATTAATGTTTGGAGAGTGACTCTTAGTAAAATGTCTAAGAAGTGGTAACGATGGCGCGGATATATTCTCTCTTCGACATCTTCTGAAGTTTGGACATGCTTTCATCACCTTGATTTTCAATTCCACTTCCTTCTATATTATTATATTATTTATTTATCCCTTGGGTTCCTAATGAACATAGGGCTTCAGTAGCACGTCTCAAGTGCACTCTGTTCTCTGAAATCATTGAACCTGGCTCCACGACAGCCCACAAGCTCTCATTTCCTCCTCGCACGATCTCCTCCATGTCGCCCTCGCCTCGGACGCCAACTCGTCGCTTCCCATGGGGGTTCCACGCGAGTACCTGGCCTGATGCATGATGTCCCCAGTCGCCTTCTTAGTGTATGCCCAAACCATCTCCACTTCCTTCTGCATATTTGTTGGGCGATAGGTTCTTGGTTGGTTCGTCCCCAGAGTTTCTAGTTGCTCATTCTTCCTGGCCATCTGATCTTCAGTATTGAACGTAGGCTGTTGTTGATGAATGTCTGTAGTTTGTTGGAAATGCTTTTCGTGACGCGCCAAGTTTCTGAATCATATAAAAGCACTGACTTGACGTTGGTGTTGAAAATCCGGATTTTGTTCTTTGTGCTGAGTGGAGCGCAGAAATCTCCACACTGGTTTCAGGTTAATGAATGCCTGTCTTGCTTTTCCTATCCTGGCTAGCTTTGACGTCCTCGTCTGTGCCGCCTGTAGTTGAAACAGTGCTGCCTACATAGGTAAAAGAGACTACTTCCTTTAAGTTTCCCCCGTTGATGGTGATAGGTGCATGTTGTTGTTGTTGGTTGGGTATCTTCATCACCTCCGTCTTCTCCATATTCACTTAAAGTGGCGTCTTCGCTGCCCTGCCTCTTCTGCCAACTTGTTAGTTTTCGCCTGTAGATCATCAAGTTTGTGTGACATCAGACACAAGTCATTGGCGAAATCCAGATCTTCTAGGTTCTTTTCCGCAGTCCAGCGTACCCCCTCTTCTCGCTCCTCACTATTTGTTGCATGATCCAGTCCACCACAATCAGGAATATCATGGGTGATAGTAGACAGCCTTGTTTTACTCCTGTCTTCACTTCGAAAGTATCACTGAGCTTCCCATTGTGAATAAGTTGGCTTGTGGCTTCTTCATATAGTTGTTGAATGAAGCTGAAAAGGTTTGTGGTATACCATAGTGTTGAAGCAACTATTTGTCAAATTGTTTGTCGGTTGACGCTATCGAAGGCCTTTGCAAAGCGCATGAAATTGAGTAGAGGGTTGACTGCCATTCTATGCTCTGTTCAATGATGATGCGAAGCGTTGCGTTGCAATTTGTACTTCCTGGTAGTTTTGAATCTAGCGCATCCTTTAGCCTCTCCAGGATGATGCGGCATAATATTATGCTTGGGGTGGACAGGAGAGTGATTCCGCGCCAGTTCTTGCAAGCACTTAGGTCTCCCTTCTTCGGGAGTTTGACAAGGTAACCCTTCTTCCAATCAACTGGCAGGTAGGTACCTTCCCTTCCTTCAACACCTTCTGCAATAGTGGTGTGGTGTGAGCATGTCCACTGTTGTCCCTGCGTCTATTCTCAGTGCTTCTGGCGGGATCCCATCTGGTCCTGCTGCTTTCCCGCATTTCAGTAGCTTTCTGGCGTTCAGGACTTCGACTTTTGTTGGAGGATTTATGTTCACCTGTGGTTCTGTGGCTGGGCTTTAGGTGGTATTTGTGGACGAAGTGCAGGTGGTGGTGGTGGTCGATTCAAGAGCTTCTTGAAGTGATCAGCCCATTGTTTCCTTTGTTTATCCTCCTTGGTAATTAGCTTTCTTTCGTCATCTTTTATTGGTTTCGTCTGCGTTGATCTCTTCCATAACAGATAGTAACATAGTTATTTGATACAATGTTGTCAGGTCTGTCCTACCAGCCGACAGCCTGTTCTGCTTCACTTGCTAGAGTGTCGTGGAATTGTCTTTTGACTTTCCGTGCACTCCTCTTCACTTCTTTGTCCAGTGTTTTATAAATTGTGCTCAGTTCCTTATGTCGTTGAGCATGCTTGCACTTGTTTATCTTCTGCTTCACCATCCTCCTCTCCCTCCTCTATCAGCTTCCATGTATCCATTGAGATCCATTCCTTATATTCTTTCTTCTTCCTTCCTAATAAGGCTGTGCAGGATTCTTTGCACATAGCTTTTAAAGACTTCCAGTTCTCTTCCACACAGGTTTCTTCAGGGATGTTCTTCGATATCTCCCATTTTGTCTTGATAGGTGATGACGTGAAGATTTCGTTTGTAGTTTCGTCCTTCAATTTCCGAGTGTTGTACTTGAACTGTAGTCTATCACCAACTTCCTTGAAGGCTTTCAATTTGATTTTGAAGGTTCCTTGCACTAGATAGTGAGTGGTCTGAGCTTAAATCTGCTCCTCTTCTTACCTTGTGTCAACTACGCTGTGTCTCCACTTTCTTCACATTGAGATGAAGTCGATTTGATTTTTAGTGTGTCTATCTGGTGTCTGATGAAATTCATGTCGCTTTGTGAATATCCTTGTGCTTGAACACACTGTCTCACTGCAATCACCAAATCGTTGAATGCACAGAATTCTGCAAACAATTCTCCATTCTCGTTCATCACCTCACCGAGCGCTTCTCAACCCATGGTTAGTTCTCTTCCTGTGTTGTCTGCTCCGAGTTTGGCATTCATGTCGCCACACCCATTAGAATTTTGATATCGCCAACTGAGGCGGTGTCTTGTCCAGTGTTGATTGCAGTTGTCTGTAGAATTTCTCCTTCTTCTTTTGATCTGCTGGGTTCAAACATGGTGTGGACATTCCATGTCCCCACGTTTGCTTTCGCTTTGATCGAGAGAGAGGAGACACATCGTCCAATTGGCTTCCTGAAGGCTTTCACCAACTGGCGTCATTTCGCCTCTCCGAATCCAGCTAGGAATAATTTTGTTATTATTTTTTATATTTTGCTTGTGCTTTGAAGTTTGTTTGGCGGTTAGATTTGTTTTAGGGGGTAGGTTTGCTAGCCGTATGTCCAACCTTCCCTGTTTACCCGGGCTTAGGACCGACTAGTAACTAGTGAACTAGTTCATCCTTTTATATTTAATATCAGTCCTCCTCTACGCATTTGTTCTTTACATGTTGCTGAGAAGTACTGCAACTTGAACCTATGCACTTCTACGGTTCTATGTTGATTTTCTTTTCTTTTTGCCTATCTGTCAAAGTTTATGTAACGCCCAGATGAGAGACTCGTGAGGATTTGTAATGAAGAGAAGAAGTAAAGATTATAGATGTACGTAATTGTCAGGATCGATCAGTGTGTTGTTAAAGATGCGGTGGTGACTAATGCTTCTCAGATCACTGTGAGGAAAGAACTGTCACTTTATTGAAGCAACGAAGGTAATGGAGTTGTTGATATACGGTTTCAGAGTTCAAGATATATCCTGAAACTAGCCTTTTTAGGAATATTACTTTTGGAGAATTCTGTTTATTTCGCTAGAGATCTCAACACCAACAGTTAATAGCCTATAATGGTAAACGAAAATGTGCTGTTGGGTTAGAAATGTACTTGTCAACATTCTATCATTTTATTTTGATATTACAAGTTTTACAATTTAAGCATGGTGTCACCATTGGCTTATATACTCCACTTTTAAGTAATGGGTTATAGACTGAAACCTCGCTTCACCTACTTCGGCTTGATCAACTTGGTAGTGCCAAACATAACATATATGTCATAGCGCGATCATAGAACGTGTACCGAAGTGAGTTGCATATTAATGAGAATAATAGTAGTGACTGTCGATATTGAGTAGCAGCTTAATTCATTTTTATCACCCCATCCTACCTTCCTCATCTTTCAAAAGCTAGAGAAATAAGCGTTTTAATCAACGCAGTTTTACGTACCATGCCGTTGCAACGATCAAGCCTAGCCACTCTATCAGATGTATGGTACCGGGTTTAATCTTCATGTTTTCCCTCAAGGTATTTAAAAGATATTACGTGTTTTGTCACTGTGAGGGCCATACGTCTGCTTGTATTGACGACTTGATAAAATTATAATCGAAATAGAAAAGCATTCAACAACCACTTACACGCTAGTGGAATAGGAAATAAGGGACTACTATTGTGTAAAGGCTATTGATACTATTTTGCCGTTCAAACTTCGGTATATGTTGCGGGTTTTGAACTTACGACCTACAGGTTGAAAGTCGAGTCCTTATACCATTGAGCCACAGTTCCATCTAGATGAAATTAATACATAAAAGTTATTGCACATTGTGTGCCCAAAGGCATTTAAACCGTTAAAGCTTTGTTTATTTCTAGTATACAACTATTGATTAAAAGACTTCAATGTATGCCACCAGTTTTTTTCTTTTACTCCTCTTTGGACGTAATGTATTCTTTGGTTATCAAACCATAGTAACCTACCAAGGGACAGTTATTATCCATTGGTCTGTTCAACCACTTTAAGAAGTGGTTTTCGTCTGATCCGTGCAAAATCTTACCCTATCAATCTTCAATATCTGACATGTCATGCCTTTTATCAATGGCCCTCCAACTACTCCAGTTTGACTACTGTGAACTTTCCTTCTGGTCTTCGGGTAGGTGTCATAATCATTTTAGTAATATTTTGGATATTCTTATGGTTATTATGTGGTAATTTATAGACTGCCAAAAGATAGCAGGCGTAGAGTTTCGCAAATCTAGTTCAAAAATAACTCACAGTTCACAAACTCCAATTAAAAATTCCTTTCATATTGGAATAGAACAGGTACTTACGTCGTGTAGAATACGAGATATGTTATTGATGGACATGAGTAGCTGCAGACCACTCCTGCCAATCAACGATGCTCTCCGGCTAGATTAAAGCGATTAAAACACCGGATAACCCTTCGGCTTGCTTGTGACTGATGTCATCAGCGGTTTACTGAGGTTGATTCCTCTCATTGCCAACTTTTTCAAACTACCCGAAAAAAACTTGTACTGACCCATCTGTGGGGTGTCAGGTAAAAAAGATTAGTCACTTTAATAAGGTTGTACACCATCAACTGGGCTACTTGTCACACATTGTAAACCACTGTCTATCACAGCAACTTATATTGATTAAAGTAAGTTCCGGAGTTATCTGACTCATGGCCGTGGCTCAAAAACAGTGAATTCAAGATAACCAGCCAGGTCTCCCACGTGGACAAGAGTGTGTTGGTCAGATCTTCACCGTTCATTGGATTATGTAGCACAGACATACCGGCGACCAACATGCCAAATTTATTGACTTCTAAACCACTCCAACCAAGACAGTCCATACCTCTCTACATGGTTCACACCAACGTTCAATGACCGCATGAATTAGTGTCACGTCTTGGTCTCACCACCCTTAGCTTTATTCTCACCTAAACTTACTTCGACCAGCGTTGGTTTCATTATCCTAATTTTCAAATCCCTCCTTCTATCTATCTTTATCTTCTTTAGCAACTTGGACTGATGCACGTGTGTCCGAGGTTCTACGTTGAATTTGAAATAGTGATGAAAATTTCCACTGGTAACAATTATAAGTAGTTATCTTCACTCGAATAAGTGACGCTTAGAAACTACATATAGACAATTTTTTATTGAATTTTTCGGAAAAGTAAGATGCTTGTTAACATTCTTAATCAACCAGTAATGTTTGTTTCGAATGAGTATTGATATCCTAGTTTTAGTGAATAATAATTTGATTATATTCATTTATATCAATCTCAGAATAAGACTAAGCGAAATAAAATATTGAACTAATGATTATAGATACACTATTTGAGAATCTTGCAAACCCCTTTAGGGTTGCATTCCGATTTTAGATTGTGACAACCCTACCAGTTATGTAAGCTATGTGAGTATAACGTTTACAAGGGTCTCAATATATGGCATTGTGCAGCTGATCAGTAAAGCAGATGACTAGTCTTTCATAGTATGTAAAAACTGTCTGTATTCCCTGTTCTCTATTGTTTGGAAATGATAAGGTCTTTCTGTTTTCCTCATGTATACTTCGGGAGCAGTATTCCATCCTTCCAGGGTGATTGTTGATTAATATATATATATATATATATATATATATATATATATATATATATATATATATATATATATATATATATATATATATATATATATATATATATATATATTACTGCTCCTGGAGTATACATGAGGAAAACAGAAAGACCTTATCATTTCCTAAACAATAGAGAACAGGGAATACAGACAATTTTTGCATAGTCAATAGTCTAGCTCTATATGGGTTACTCAAATCAGTACAGTGTTATGTTGAGAATAAATCTTCTATTGATTCTTTTTTATAATAAAAACTTATGATTTACGTGTTGTACTCAAACGGATGATGATATAATGAACACTACAACTATTGTTTTAAGTTTGGGTCTCTGTGGGAACAACCTCACTCTCTGTAATTCAGGTACATTCTGTTGACAAGTCCTAAATAAAACGAAACGCGGGTCTTGGATCGTACTATTAATTACCATCGAACAAACCAGTTTTTAGTTTGCTCATTTATTGACGTGGTTTCACTACCTAATCAATAAAATCCTTTTCCAGCGAAAAAAATCGTTTACCATCCTATTGATGTTTACATTGCAGTTTTCTACTGAATTTCCCACTTTATCGACGTATACACTCAACATTAATTGTGTTGTTTCCTGTCGTATTTCTAGGCAGTTTTAAGCACTACTTTGCCGTATTCGTTGTTCTTCAATAGAATTAAGCAACTATCTGTTGAATATGATAATTGTCAACAACTATCGTGTAATTCATCTCCACTACGTGCTGATTCACCTGATTACTTCTTATGGACAAGTTTTTCTCGATCCACTTCCGATAATTCTAATAGTAGTAGTATCGAAAAAGAGGATATATTATATAACGAACCGTATTCACCAAATGTATTAGATTTATCTACTTCTGATATCTTGGATCAAACTACAAAAGAATCGGTGGACGAAAGGGATAAATCTGATGGAAATCTGACGACTGAGGAAAAGAAAGAATATAGCAATGAATTGTGAGTTATTTGACTAATTAAAGTAGTTGTGATTTATGGGATTCCTTTGTATAACATTGATTCATGAATTGAAAGCCACTACATCTCTCAGTCTGTTCAGCTAAGTGGTATTGTTTTGCCTGAAGTCTGCTTAGGTTATTGAGTTAAACCAATGGTTTTACAAATGCACTATTAAGTTTTTTTCATCTATTGTCTTATTTAAGGTGTGAATTAGTAAACTTACCATGGGCTAAATCAAATCATGCGTTCGGTGATGCGATTCGTCAAAAACTTAACTCCACAAAACATTGCTCTTTGTCAAAGTTGTGACTGAAAACACAAAATAACAGTTTGTGATTTATACATAAACCAAAGCTACCACTGTAGGACTGTTTTGCAAGACATTTTTTACAACAAACTCCAAGGCTATATTTTCCTCCTGCGAATCCACGCTTTTTAAACGTTCAAGCAGCCCATACAAAATTTTTCGATTCCATTTGACTCGATAAGTGACACTGAAGGAGGATTCTGGTTGAGCTATATGTCGAGAGTTGACCAAACGTTCAAGAATTGAACTGTTAATTGATTTACATTCTCGACAACCATGCAGGATAATGCTCAGACATATGTTTGGAAACTGTGCGCTTTGTGCGGCCTATATAACTAGCTCCACAGGAGCAAATAAATTTGTAGACACACATTGAGGTGTCTTAAAGCTTCAACTTATCCTTAACGTGCTCTAGTTGTTGACTGGAGAAACTTATTTTGCAGAGAAGAATATCTTCTTCAGTGATCTGGACAGCCACTTGGCGATAGAATGGTATGGTGAATTGTTCATGTCCAAAATTGACCAAAGAGGAAGATCTCTGTGTACTTTTGGGAGACTACTCTAGTGAGGAGTAACAGAACCAAAAGGTCGCAACTGCTCGAATAGTTTGGGGCTGATGATAGATTCATTCTTCATCTTCTGCAGTATCTGGGTGAGCTTTCGTTCAATTTTTCAGTGGTGTCATTTTGAGCAGACTTTTGGAAAACCTACTCCAATCTGATAAAATAGAGACCATTTTCGCGTTATGTTCCGAACAATCCTGAAATACTGGAGAATATTTGTAGCTTAGATGGGTCGTATTGTGTTCTCTGAGCTGGGTTGTTTAATAGTGAAGCTTTCATCGTCTTTCTCGACGACATCATCAGCACTTCGTCAACTTCAGTATGAAGTAAGCTGTCAAGATCTCTACGTGAGTGATTTAGTAGCTTGCCCTGACGATATGGTCTGTGATTGGTTGTCCCTTTGATTGTTGTGTCATTGACTGTATAGACTCTCCTGCTGGCTGTTCCTCTGCTTGACCTCTGACCTTTCTGTCGTTTATCATCTTTCTTATTGGTTGATAGATTGGGTCTCTGTCTATACATCTGTTGATTGCTGACTAACTGACTGACTGACCTGAATGCCAGCCAAGCTTCTAGGAATTCTCTGATATTCCTTGTGTTTCCTCTGCCTGAAATTTCTACATTGTCGAAATTGAATTCATGTCCATAACTATCCACATGCATTGAAATGAGTGACGAAATGTCGTCCGAACGATCCATGAGGGCAGTATCAGCGCCTTTGTCAGGACGAACTAGCAGCAAATTTATTTTTCAGAAGCTCACGCAGTTGCTTTTTATGCTGTTGTGTATACAGCTTCATATTAAGGTATTGATGACAACAATTAAAGACAGTTGATTTGAACTGTTCTAGTATTTTGTTTGAAACTGGTAGGAGATTTGTTTGGTTGATCAGGTTTTTCAAATTGGACTTTTATGTCTAAATCATTAACAGATGCTGAGGTATCACAAAATTTCGGACCCAGAGATAATGCCTAGATTTGAATGGAAGTCAAATCTACCTTGGAGTAATTGAATACATATTTTTCCGGTGCGTCTGGAAAACGAGAATGTGTTTCTTAGTGTTTAAGACATCTCATCAACCTTGGGTTTATTGTCTTCTGATTGACATTTTGACACCATCCCACCATAGTCTGTGAAATTAACGCACTCGTCTTCGAATAGATCGAACAGTGCATGGAATCTTAATGATTAGGTTACGCTCCAATTCAAGTAGTTGCGATTTAATTTCGTCAATGATATTCAGTGTGTGACGCTTTAAGGAACGATGATATGGACGAATGTGATTTCGACGTTAACTTTTCCAATACAGATTTGTACATTTGCCCTTATCTATGCAGCTTTTGAGAAAACTAGTTCGTCTATTCACTACGGCAAGCTTGACAGAAAAATTCAGAAACCCATCGAGTTCCTTCACTGTGGCAAGGTCCTTGCTCAACTTTAAACGACGAAACATACCCATTGGGTTATAGAGAGAATAGAATTTGCATCGAAAGCACATTCGTCCAAATTATCGTTCTTTAAATCGTCACACACAGAATATTTCTGACATTAGCCCATCTAACCTGCTGCTCTTCCACACGTGATGTTGCATGCAACTTTTTAACGTCTGAAAAACTTGAAGGGCGTATTCTAGTATCCCATTTAGGATTCTGCGG